TTAGCCCACGACAGCCATTCCGAGTTGACTCTGGATGTCTTAGGAAGTTGCGGATGTGCTACAAGGTTTGGGTTATTTGCATGTGGATCTGTGGTTGTTCCAGTGTATTTATTGAAGGGATAATCCTTTCTTCGCTTACCTGCTTTTGCCTGTTTGGTAGTCAATTGTTTGTTATGTGGGTGTCTATTTTGGGACTTGCTACTGTGCCTGGTGGTTTGCCTGCCTTGATGTCTTGATTGGTGTGACTTTGTGGTAAGTCGTGGGACTGGGAGGGTTGGAGTTCTAATTTTGTTCCTTCCTCAAAGTTGTTTAGACTATTCTCAGTGGTTTGTATTTCTACAGAAATGTAAGAATCAAAATGTTAATTTTTATGAAAAATGATACTGGAATTTTGACAAGGGATTGTGTTTTCCCAACTTTATTACTTTCTTCTATTTGTTTTTGGTTTTACTATTTTATTTTTAATGTCTTAAGGAAAGATATAAAGATACTTCATAACTTTCTTCTTTTCTAATAAATGTACTTGGTGTTAAGAAAAATGTAATCATTGTGTCTCTAGGACCACTTTTGTTATAAGTTCTAGTCTTCTTTTGTTTTTAACAATATGGCCATACCAACTTTTGGTCAGTATTTAAATGATTTGACTTAATTTTTAAAAACTTAAATCAGGAGTTAGGGGTTTAGCTCAGCGGTGTAAGTGTCTGCCTGGCAAGCACGAGGTCATGAGTTTGATCCCTGGTACAAAAAAACTCAAAACAAACAAACAAAAAACTTTAAATCAAAGTAGCAAGAGGATATTCTTTTAAAAGCTGAGTAGTTCAAGGCAGGGCATAGGGGTGCAGGCTTATAATGTCAGCACTTGGGAGGCTGAGGCAGAAGGATCATTCCAGGTTCAAGGCCAGCCTGGGCTACAGAGTGAATTCAAGCCCAGCCTGAACTACGTAATGAGACCCTGTCTCAAAAATAAATCAATAAATAAATGCTGAGTAGTTAAAAATGTTTACAACAATTGCAGAGTCTTCCTTCTAGAAGACTCTTTTGACTCTCTCCTTAACTTTTACTTTTAAATTTTATTTATTTATGTATTATTTATTTGGTACCAGGAATCAAACTCATGCCTTGTGCTTGCCAGGCAGGCACTTACATCGCTGAGCTATATCCCCGGCCCTCTCTTCTGACTTTTAAACAGTATACATGTGCTCCAGTACAAGTCCTGATCCAAAGGTATGGTGCACGTTTAAATTTTTACAAAGCCCATTTTGATCAAGACACACTGCCAAGAATGACAGGCTAAGTTTGTTCAAAGCGAAGGGAGTATTCTGAGGGGGATTCATAGCCATGTGTCTTTACTGTCATACATTTTAAATTTAAACATTTACCATCTTTATGATCACTCCTTGTTTGCAGCCACCGTTTCAAATAAAACACTATAGTGTGTGTTTATCCACCTTACTCACCAGATCTGGCACTGTGTCTCTTCTCAAAGCCAAAAATGGCCAGGAAAGGTAAAAATTTTCAGTCAGTTTAGGCAGCCAAGACCACACAACTAAAGACACTCAGGGAAAGACTTCTGAAATTGCTTCAGAAAGGGTCAAGAATGGAATGCATTTGAAGGGAGGGGGAGGATTTTGAAGGAGCTTTAGTGGTAATGTAGCTTTTTTTTTTTTTTTGCCCCGGGGATCGAACTCACAACCTCGTGCTTGCCAGGCAGGCACTTATGCTGCTGAGCTAAATCCCCGGCCCGGTAATGTATCTTTTACTGTCAAACATTTTTAAGAATTAAAATTTTCACCATAAGGGGCTGGGGATTTAGCTCAGCGGCATAAGCACCTGCCTTGCAAAGCAGGCGGTTGTAAGTTCGATCCCTGGTACCGATAAAAATGAAAAAGAGAAAAAAAATTTTTTTTCACCATAGCTTTGATCACAATGCATATTTTGATCAGTGATCTGTCTACTTTTTTTCTGTTGGCTTCCTGTTATTGTAGATAAGGATTTAGCCATCAGACATAATTCCTCTCCACCTCTGTCCTGTTCCAGTATATCATCATTTGGGGCTAATTTGGTATTGGGGGTTTCTATTAGTTATGGCTAAATGACCGAGCTCCATAGTGTGTAGTATCGTTATCTGAAACACCTGGGACCAGAAGTGTTTTGGATTTTGGATTTTTAAAATTTTTGCATATGCGTAACAAGATACCTTGAGGATGGAACCCAGGCCTAAGCATGATATCATTCATGTGTTTCATATGTGCCTTATACACACAGCGTTGGAGTAATATTTTTCTTTTGTACTGGGAATTGAACTTATGGCCTTGTACTTGTCAAGCAAGTGCTTGTACCATGAGCTAAGTCCCCACCCATCTTGGGGTAATTTTATACAGTGCTGTTACGTGCTGTGTCGGGCAGGTGTGGAATTTTCCATCTGTGGTGTCAGACTCCAGCCCTCAGTTTCAGACTCTGGAGCATTTGGATATTTGGATTAGGAATGCTAACTGATACTATGATTTCATTTTCTTCCTTTCTTCCTCCTCCTTTTTAAAAGTCCTAAAATCAACAATTGCTTTGATGTTTTTTGTTTGTAACCACTGATAATTCTTCGCACACCTGCGGTTTTTTTCACGGAGGCCCATTTGAAAGAAACCCATCCCTCTTGTTTTTGGAGAGACAGCTGGCAGGCCAGCTGCAGGCTGACCCTGAATCTCTTCCTTGATCTTGTCTTTCTTTTCCTCCTCCTTTGTCTCCTTCCTTCCTTTTTTGATGGCAGTATGTTTCCCCACAGCAGCTTTCCTGAGTTAAAAAGGCAGTAATCCAACCACAGGAAGAGCGGTCCTGTTCAGGGATCCCGAGTAAAGAGGTGGTCACAGTGGCATTCACCCTGCGGTGTGGGACCTCCCTTCTCCATCCCCGCCCCCTTTCTCCTATGTTATAGCTCCTGTTTCCATATGTGCAGCTTCCTTTTCTTCATTGTTTTATGTTTTCATTTTGGGGCTTTTTGGGGGAATCCCAGGAATCAAACTCAGGACCTTGCGCTTCCCCGCAGGCAGTGTGCCATTGGGCTATATCCCCAGTCCCTTATACTCCCATTTTGGAACAGGTCCCCTAGGAGCTTGTTTGAGACAGTAAGGCTCTCATTTCGTAGCTCAGGCTGGTCTTGAACTTGCAACCTCTCTGCTTCAGCCTGCAATGTGCTGTCCCCCTAGCAGCTTCCTGAGAAAGGATGGATAGAAAAAGAAATGAAGGAGAAAGGATGCATAGGAGGCAGTTTTTTTGAGATTTTGTATGGTTATCCTACTGTGACACATAGTAATTTAGCCAGGTACAGAACTTCAGGCTGGTGTGTTACAGAACAGGCCCAGCGTGCCTGCGTTCACACAGGACAGGAGTCCGTTTTCCTCACACTGACTTCACACACGGAAGCCAGCAAGCAGCGCACCAAGGTTTGCAGGTGCTATTTCTTCCAGGATTATTGTTCCACACTTCCCTGGGTCAATCCTAAACTAACCACATCTGCACACATCACACTTCAAGTACAGGAAACAGGAACGAGGAAGCCCAAAGCAAGTGATTTCCTCTAACACTGTGAATGAGAAAGGTACACATTCTGCAGGCGTGAAGTCATTTTCTTTTTTCGAGTAGATGAAGTCAGTCTGTGGCTTCATATGTGGGAGCTGGCGGCAACCTCCCAACAGGAGAGGCTCCGGGTTACTTTCCTGTGTGTGTGAGGTTCATCGGAACATTACACAGGCTCCAGACAGAGACCCTGGAGGAGCTTCCGGTGCCAGTCCTAGGGCCTCCCAACACTGAGGGGCGGCTTGCCCCCCACAGCCCTGCCGACAAAGCCAGATGGGAGGGCCACTCTCCCTCTCCTTAACACTTTCCCTCAAAGCACCCATCACTCCTGGAACGTTTCGTATTTTCGTTTGTTTATGGTCCGGTTCCAGGTTCCATTAGGTCTGTGTCCAGGTAGCTATTCGGGAAGTGACTCCAGGGAGCAGGAGGAGTGGGAGGGATAAATAGCAAAGGAGGGAGAGAGAGAAAATATAGGTGCTCCTGAGTGAAGAATCCCCAACCCCCCAGACTTCTGAACTATCAGTGGTCAGGGGAAGGGGCAGAAGCCCGCAGGTGTTTAGTTCCCCTGCCCCTCTGGTGGCACATGTACCACAGAGGCCAGGGCAGGCCTTAGGCGCGCCCTGCAGACTGTCCCTGTGTGCACACAGCTGCAGAAGCCTGTGGGTGGCTGTCACTGCAGGTACAGCAGAGAGAGTGACACGGGGGGGGGGGGGGGGGCTGTGTGACGTCTCCTGCAACTCCTTCCCAGGCATCAGAAGTGTAACCAGTAAGGTGCACATTCAGTGAAAATGTGCTGCATGTCTTGAGGGGAAAAGGCAAATAATTAGCTGGCTGCAGGTTTTATGGTAAATACAAGTCACTGGGGACCTGTGACAGGAGCCTACATGGCACATGGAGAGGACAATGGACTTTCCAGGGACAGCCCCAGGCTGAAACCTGGAGGACAAGCAGAAGTTATCTCCAAGGCTGGTTTATAAGAAAATAAGGAATTACTCATCTAAATAAAAATGGCAAAAAACAAACCAAAACAGGGACTAGACTCTTGAGTGAAAAAAACAAATCAAAAATCTTAACTGGTGGGTAACAGACTGAGCCCTCTGAAGCGGACGGTACCGTGCCCTTGATCGGCCTGTCTGTAACCCTACAGCACAGAGAGCGAGCGGGACAGGGCGGGGAATGGGACATCCTGAATCTCAGAGAGGTCAGGTGACCTCCAGTGATGGGGCAGTCCTGTCTAACCACATGTACACAGGTATCAAGACCCACAGCAGGGCAGTACTGGCCGATGGACACAGGAAGATAGGGCAGAGCTGGGGCCAGAACCCAGGTCTCCTGGCGCCTGGGCTTGTCAGGGAGAAGGGGCTCAGGAGGAGTGGGGTGGGGTGAACTAACCACAGCCAGGCTGAGCCGAGTGGGCACTGCTTCCCCAGCTACTACCAGAAGAAGCTGAAGGCAGGCACCTGCAGGGCCCGAGAGATGGCATCCACCACAAGCCAGCTGCGGTCACAGAAGCAGCTCCCCTACAACCTCCAGCTGGCAGAGCGTTCAGAAGTCCCGGAACACAGGGTCCTCAGCATCCTGAGCCGGCTGAAGCAGAACGGTGAGGAGCCAGGCGGCCGTGTGAGGAAGGGGGCTCGGCCCCCTTGTCTCCTCGGCCTCCTTCCCAGGCCAGACCCTGAGCTGCGAGGCCTGTTTCCCACTGCGGGCCCACCCATGTGCACTGCTAAGTGACTGTCACTCCCCGAAGTTCAGCCCTGTGCCCACAGGTCCTGCACTCAGTCCTCCCGCCTGCTGCAGCCCCAAAGACAAGCTGCTTCCAAAATCCGGCTGGTAGCCATGAGCAAATGCAGTCCACTGCTGGCGCATAGCCCCTGGAGTAGGCTGACAGCATGGGACGCTTGGCACTAAAATTTTATCACAGGTTTATTCCATTTACAGAGAGAAAAACTGAACAGAGGCGTTAAGTGCCTTGCCTTGTTTTCCCTGAGCTGTCCGTGGGGTCTACACTCGGGCCCAGCCCCCAAACTTGCCCTTTCTGCAGGGCAAGACTGCCTCCCCTGCCTGCTGTCCTTCATTAGTCTCCTGCAAGGTGCCAAGGAGGAGCAAGGGCCCTGCAGCCTTTCCAGAGTGCCCACTAGGCAGTGCCAGGACCCATGCCAAAGGCCCTCCAAGCTGTGGTCAGCCTCTGTCCTGTGCTTGGTGTCCGGCAGGGTACTCAGTGAGCCAACTCTCCTCTCTACGGGCCTTGTCCAATCCCAGCCCACTCGGGAAATCCAGGAACTTCCCCGGGTCTACAAGCAGCCTAAGGCCACCACACTCTGAAGTGTACCCCCCACCCCCAGCCTCCGACCTGCGGAGCCCCTATGCCCAGGTCCCTGGCAACTTACTCTGCCCTCGGCTGAAGATAGCCCGTTGGAAGCAGGGCAGCCACATGCTGGATCAGTGCACACCGGGCAGCCTGAGCCCCAGCAGCCGCAGCCACCTCCTCCAGTCAGGACCTCATGGAAGCAGGTAGGTGCCAGGAGGCCAGGGTGTGTCTCAGGCCCATCTACCTACCTGCGTCCTCAGGGGGCCCCTGGCTAGCACTTGGGGAAATCCATTCTTCCGGGATTGCCTGGGAAAGGGAAACACCTCCGTGGAGGGCTGCAGAGCAGGGAAGCTCATTTCACTCATACCAAAGCATGCGGGAGGGACTTCCTGCGTGCAGCACTCAGTCATACCCACCGTTTTGCTGGGGCTGGCACTGTCCCCTTTCCTACCCAGGGAACCAAGCTGCTCTGCCCTAACCTGGTTCCACATTCTAAGTGCCAGGTTTAGCTGCTGGCCAGAGGGATTGAACCTTGCTGCAATCCCCTTCCAGGCCCCCTGAGAAAAAGGCCTCAGCCCAACTGCTGCCTTTCTCCCTTCTGGGAGGAGGCCATCTCTCCTCCGCGGCACAGGGATTGCCCCAGCCTGGCAGGACTGCGGGAGAAGGTCAAACACTGACCAGCCTTCTGCCCCACTCTTCCTTCCCCAGGGAACACAGCTCCGACGGTGGTGCAAAGTGGCTCAGCTCCCTGCCCACTCGAACCTACTGACCCTCTGGAATCTGGCGGGGCGGTTCAAGCCTGCAGACAGATGTGCCACTGGGTATGGGCTGCTGTGAGTTTGTTTTTATGGCCTAGTAAGCCAATAAACACCAAGGACCTCAGCCTGGGAGCCTGGTGCCCAGGCTTCCATAGCCTACGCGGCTTCTCAGGAGTGCAGGCTTGAGAATACCTGAGGCAAGACCTGCCTAAGGCCGCACCCAGGGCGAGCATTCCTGCCGCAGGTCGCCTTGCGCACAAAGGCTTTACCTGTGCACTCTCAAAGCACAGAGCTGCCCCTTGACAGTGGGAGCCCCAGGCCCCGAGGAAGAGCAAGAGGTGGTCTCAGCCTCTACTGTGCTGAGCCCACAGACTCAGGGGGATTCTTCTGTGGAGCCCAAACCACATACCACCCAATCCTGTCTTCCCTGGGTTCAACAGGCAGCCACAGCAAACTGCAAAAGGTCAGGGGTTGAAATAAGGACAAAGATCTGACAAGTTTAAAACATGTATTTAAAATACAATTTATAAAATGCTTAATCTGCCGACTCAGGAGCCCGCGTGTAGGGGTGAGGTGGGGGTAGGCAGCTGCCCACTGCACCAGCAAAGCACGATGCAGGGGTGTGGCCCCCTCCCATTCCCTTCTGTTCAGACACCCAAGGGGCCCATGTGCACCCTTGGGATCACACGACCAGAAAACAGAACCCCAGAGGTCTCTTGAGTCTCTGCTTGCCAGGGAGGCTGGGTGCAGCCCTACCGGCCCATCCCTGAGCAGGGCACCCCCAAATGGGGCAGAGCAGGGTATGGCTGGGCAGGGCAGGGCTAGGCGGGGCAAGTGGGCTCTGGAAGGGGCTGATGATAGCAGATAGGGTGTTGCCTCCTGCCTGCAGGTGGGGAGCACCCTGATTGCTGAGAAGGGTTGGTCACCAGGCCCGGACCCCTAGCTCCTTTGGTTATAGGCTGACATCAGAGTAGTGGCTCATGGGAAGCGGTTAGCCGGAAAGACTGAGGCCTGGCTCATGGGGTCTGGGAGGAGCTGGGAAAGGGACAGTACCATGAAGGGAGACAAAAGGGGCAGCAGCCTCAGGGTCCTGCCCCTCATTCCCCTGGGGATTTCCAAGCCAAAGCCTGCAACTTACTTTAAAAAAAAAGAAAAAGAAAAGAAAAAGCACTTAAGGAAAGTTACAGACAACTACAAAAAAACCCCCACACAAAATCCAAACCGTTTCCCATCTTCCTGCCCACCTCCCCCCAAATAATAGTTTCTGCTTTCTTTCATTTTGCCTGCCACCTCTCATCTGGGAAGCCAAAGGCATGACTGCTGGTGGGTGGACACAGGCACAGTGTGGGCAGAGCCCTTTCTTTGGCCGGAGAGGTGAGAGCAACAGTCCTGGCCACATGCTCAGTCCAGACACCAGCTGTGCTCACTCCCACCAGAGGGGGTGTTGCAGGAACCGGTGGCACCAAGGCAGAGCCATTGCTTGCCTGGCCTCCCACCTGCACTGCCTCTGCACCCCTCTCCAACTGAAAGGAGAGTCTTGCCTTGGCCAGAAGCCACTCTATCTTGAGGGATGGGCATGACACATTTAGAGTACACACACCTGGTCATGGCAGTGGACTCCAAGATAGCAGCCACCTTTCTTCCTGCCCACTCCTTGCAGTAACTGCATCTATGACCCTCTGCTCTGGCTCCATTCACAGACAATTCCTGGCTTCACACAGTCCTCAGGCTGGGCCATGGAACAGTTGTAGGTTCGACTGGCAGCTGGTCCTTCCTCCTAGGGAGAAGGCCTGGAACACGGCTGGGCCTGGCCAGAGGAACCCATTGCAGAGTAGATCTGCAAAATCTGGCTTGCTACTGGACCACCACAAGCTGCCCTACTCCAAAACCACACTAACCACTCCAAAAACCATCCACTGATCAGGAGCGGAGAGGCTGCCTAGCTCATTGAGGGTAAGGTGCAGTGTGTCCCAAGAGAAAAGTGAGCTGGGGAGAGGCAGGCTGTCCACACGGCTGCCCTGCCAGCCTCTTCTCAAGGAGTCAAAGCAAATCTCCAGGCTCCAGGGCCAGAGGACAAACCGTCTTCACATCAGGTCCTTGCTCTGGAAAAAGGAGTAAAGGGCAGCCCTGGCCTCTGGGAAACTGTTGGCCATCCGTCTTTGCAATGCAAAACTTTATCCTTCCCTACTTTACTCAGACTGTTCTGCTCCCAAGGTACTGATTTCAGAGGAAACGTAGCTGGTATAGTCACCGAGGTGCAGCCATCAGTGGAGGAGGAGTTCCAGCCTTGCTGGAGTGGGAAAGTCTATGTGACCATACCAGGCGCAGGCTTCAAGCTCAGGAGCCACATGCTCCTGGTCTTCCTGTGCTGACAGCAAATACTGACCAAGCCTCGTATCCTTTGCTTCTAAGCCCAGGAGTGCAGTCTCACTTCCTGATGCTCTCTGCTCTTGCCTGGCTGGTAGGAAGCTACCCTGAGGGGCAGGGGAAAGGGAAGTTTGTCACTTTCCCTATCTCCCAAAATACTAGAGGTGGGGTTGGCACCCTCCCCAGGCTCTCTGAGCCTAAAGAGCTAGCCCTGACTCCAGGCAGGGCAAGGTGCCTGGGGCCTAGCTGGGGGAGGGAGGTATAGGCATGGGGTGCTCACCTGTCCTGGGGCTGCAGAGCCCTGCCCCTTTTCTGGGCGGCAGTAGGAATATAGAAGCTAAGCTCACCAAAATCCTATCAGTTAATGTTTCTAGTGAATAAACCAGAAACATTTTTAAGTAGACTACCAAACTACCCTTTCTCAATTAAAAATTCATTGAACTGCTAAAACCCCTCCCATGCACTTTTTCTTAAGTCAGATATTTGTATAAACAAACAAAAATAGAAAGAAGGAAAAAAAAAAGGGAAAGGATATTTTCAAATGGAACTTACTTTTTAAGTGATGAAGACATGCACTTGGGGTTGGGCGGGTGAAGTTCTCATTTGTCTTTTGAAATCCCAAATTAATGAGCATGATAATCTTATTGCTGGCACTGGCTTTACCCCAAGTGGCCAAGTGGCACTGTCTGACTCTCTACTCTGAGTCCTTGGTGGGTCCCCCCAATCCTCCCCTAACCCCCAGACTTTCCCTTTCCATTGACTTGGGACAACCCTTGCTGAGGACGTGCCAATCACAGTGGGAAGGGGGGAAGGAGGGAGGTCACAGTGCATGGGGTTCAAGGTCACAGTGGGCGGAGCAAGGGGGATCACAGTGCAAGTAAGTCAGGTCGTTCCCTCTGCTCAAGTCCAGCTGTCTGCCACAGCAGTGCGACCCATGGCTGACGACCCAGGAGGTGGTGACGGCGGCGGCATCCTTTCTGGCCTGCATTTATCTGCGCTGTTTGAAGCCTTGTGACCCATCAGGACCCAAAGGCTGTCTGATCACATTATTGGGCTGCCTGCTGTCTTCTGGTTGGGAGATCCTGGTTGGCCTGCAGAGAAGAAAATCAGAAGAAGGCCTGAGGCAAGATATGAAAGATGTCCCCGGATCTTAGAATCAACCCCACTTGCAGCTGAGACAGGTATCATGGTAGCTATCACCCAACTTTGCTCCATGAGCCTGTTGCTTGGGCAAGCAGATAGGGCAGCTCCATGTTGGGAGGTCCCTGTGGGCAGGAGACCACCTGTGGCCTTCTACTCCTTTGACCCACCATCAGTCATTCGCAGGCACGACCCATCCTGTCCCCAGCTGCAGCCATGACGGGGGCACAGCTCCACCGAGCGGTGTGGCAGGTTCTCCAGTGTCAGGCAGCGTGAAGACCGGGTCAGTGAGCACCCTGGCACTCCTTGTTCTGCCTCCCCCTTCTCTTTAAACTGTGCAGTTAGTTAGCTGTTGCCTCATATTACTAGGGAAGACTGATGAAAATGGACATTTTCCACTAGGGAAGATGCAGCAAGCAGAGAAAACAAATGCTGGACCCTTCAAAACAAGGGGACACAGGAGTGTGGGGCAGCTCGCCTGGATTCTAGCACTGGGAGGCTGAGGCCAAAGGACAGCAAGTTCAGAGCCCAGTGAGGGCAATGCAATGTGTGACTTCAGAAGACCTCGTCTCAAACAAAACAAAGCCTGGGGATATAACTCAGTGTGAAGACTCTGGGTTAAAAAACAAAACCAAAACCAAAACCAAAAACAAACAAAAAAAAAAAAAAATAGGAAGCAAGCAGATTTAGGTTTTCAGTTTTTTTTTAAACTTCATGCTAGGAATTCTTCCACTGAACTACATCCCCAGGCAGCGATTACTTCTTCAAGCCCTACAATACAGATCAGAGAGGCCCCTCAAAGTTAGAAAGACCAGGTAAACAAACACTGCTTTCCTGGGAAGGGACGAACTTACACAAAGCAACCTCTAGTACTACGGGAGTCAAAAGTGAAGCATAAAAAAGTCTAGAAAATACAACAAAACATCACAGCGAGTTACTGGAAGATAATGCCGAGGCACTAATAGCACTGTGTCCCTGCTCAATGCCTCAACTGTGTAACCTGGTGAGGCAGACATCACCATGATCCCATTTCTCAGATTAGGCAAGAGGTTTGCAACTGTGAGTTAAGAAGAGGCAAGAGGGAGATTTTAATTCCCAGTCCGTGCCTCTTCTGGCTAGCCCCACTGCCTGCGCACTGCAGAGGTGTCTCACTGGTCCACAGTTAGCCAAGCCCTCAGAATTCGTTCTGAGTGGACCACAGAGTGGAGGAGGGCAGCTCTGCCAGCTGTACTCACCTGTCGAGGATAGGTTTCTCCTGCTCCTCCTCAGGGCTGGCGCTGCCCAGAATCCGCTTCCGGGCTTCAGCGTACTCGGCCTCCCGCTGCGCTAGGGACTTGACAGGAAGGGCTGGCCTGCTGGTGGAGTTGGGGCTGCTGACCACACCGTTGCTGGTGGGCCTCTTGAGGATGCGGATCTGTGGAGGGGGCCCGGTGGGAAGGCTATCGTCTTGAATCACAATGGGCACTTTGGGAGGAGATTTGGATTTCCTGCTGACAAAGAGCAAACACAGCTTCACAAGTCACACCCTTGACTAGAAGGCCCTTAGTGTCTCCCACACCCACCCTCACTCGGCCCCTCAGCAGCCTCTGGCCTCTGACCAGACACTCAAACTCCCACTCCTCAGGAAGGGGGTCTCAAGAAAGCAAGTTCACCGCCAACTCTGGTGGTGCACAGGAAATGCTGGCTCCGCCTCACGCCTGACTGGGGACAGAGCACCACCTGGTCCTGGGTGTCTTCTACCCATGGTCAGCACAGGCATGGCAAGCACTGTTTGGCCCCTGAAGCAAAACATTTCATGTCCAGAATCCAACAACTTCAGTTAAAATCCCCACTTCCCTACAGAGAGCAGAGTGCTGAGAGGCTGGCAGGGGGAACACCCCCACGCCCCCAGCCAGGTCTTCCACGCGGACTCAGACAAGTCAAACACTACATACGGCCTGTTACAGGAGCCCTGCCAGTCAGCAAGACAGGATTCCCTGACCCTCCCATGAGAGCGGCCTGTGCCTCCCATAAACAAGCTGCAGCAGACAGCGAGCCACCTCCTCCAAAGAACTGGGCAGAGAAACTTCCCTCACTAGGCCTCTCAGTCTGTTGGACAGCGGCGGGGCTGGAGTGAAAGGCAATCTTAGAAACAGCGCGTGGCAATGCTCAAGAGAAGCACTGTCCAAGGATGTGTATGCACATCATGGCGATGTGTTCACAAGGCAACGAGGAACTCACAAAACCCAGAGGGAAAACAACACGGAGAAAAAGAAACAAAAGCCGTGGGAGGAGAAAGAGACCAAGGCAAGAATGACCATCCATACCACTCACCCGGTGCCCCCCAGAGCAACCCTAGCTTCAGAGCCACACGGGCCCACAGGGGTACAAGCACCTAGGCTGTCAGGAGGGTAGGGGCTGAGGAACCCAGCTGCCCCAGGGTGAACTGGTAGGCGTCCTGGGCAGGATGGGAACATGGAAAGGCCTCCCGTAAGCAGCAGGGCAAGTAGCTGCTGAGGTGAACAAACAGGAAGCCAGCAATTTCATCACGGAGGCAGGAGCCAGGAGCTAGGAGCCAGGAAAACCAGCAGGTGGGCAGATAGCACAGGAATGACTGTGTAGCCCATTAAGCAAATCCAAAATCCTACCTTCCTGCCTGCCACCTGTCTTGGGAAAACCAACAGGTCACCTAAGCCTAAAGAGAACATTCACCTGCTCTGGAAACCCACATCCTCTGCCGTCTGGGTGGGGAACACAGCTATCTTTGAAAGGTCTTTCAAAACTTTCCCAGAATCTTTTCCAGGGTATCTTCAACTGCCAAGGCACTCAGGCCCCACAGAAATCACCTATCCAAGCGCTCCTCCTGTTTCAGGAAGAAACTGACATTCAAAATGGGAAACAATTTGCCCCAAAATTGGAGTAATCGGGGCTTAGCCAGCTCTCCAAACCTCTCAACTTGTCATGGACCCACTTTCCATCAGACAAGCACACCGGGGCCACGGAGAGAGAGGCAGGCGCAGCGCCTCGCCTTATTCCACAGCCTCAGGTCCCCACGGCCTGGTCTCCACCTGGGAGGGAGGGTGCACTGCCCGGAGCCTGACTGCTAACCCTACGGCCAGCTGGAGACACCGCTGACTGCCCAGCTCTCCACAGCAGAGGGCACGAGCCCTCAGACCAGACAGCAGCCTTACCTCTCCTTTTGTGTGATCTTCAGTTTTTTTTCCAACCGTCTGTCTATTTCCTAGAGGAAAAAAATGTATATAAAAAGTGGAAAAAGATCTCTCTCAAATAAAAATTTAGGTCTTTATTTTCAGAGCTAAGGACTATGTCCTCTTTCTAGCCAAGGACACAACTATGTCCTTTGAGGCGATGGACGTGGACTAGACTCTGGAGTTTGGAGACCTCACTCCCTTTGTAGGTCCTCTCCTTCTAGCCCCAGTTCTGGACCTTGTTCAGCTGGTTCTTTGTACAGCCTCCAACCAGCCTTCTTCCTGCCCTTCACAGAGCCACATAAATCAACTTTCTGGATATTAAACGTGATCCTCATCCCTAGCTTGAAGCCCCTGAAAGGCTTGCAGGACCATGTCTAAACTCCAAAGCACCCTCACCCCTACCTCCTGCAGTACTGAGCCACTGTGACCCCAAGTGCTGCTCCACCTGCCTGCAATGTTGCCACCTGCTGCAAGTGCCCTCTTATCTGCAAACCCAGATGCCTCGACTCCACCAGTTCAAGTACCTGCTCCTCAGGGGTAAAGGCTCTCTCTCACATCCCTTCATGGTTACGTATCTACTATTTTATGATCTGCTTCTTTACTGGCACAGACTTGACTGCGACTAGCACCTAGCGAAAGGCCTAGAGTAAATCAGGTCTGTGAAACTGAAGTGCCTAAGCTGTCAGGTGAACTTGAAAGCCAAGGGACGTGGTTCTCTTGGAACCACATCCTGGCCCGTCTACTTTCAAAAACAAAAAGCAAAGCAAAGCAAAGGCAGATGCTGAGAAGGTGCAGAAGGTGGAACTACTGTCCCACACGTTCTGCCAACAGCCCGGCAGTCCAGAGCCCACATGGGCCCGACCTCCTCAGTCCTAGCAAGACACTGGCCCCTGTGGCCATCTGAGTCCCCCGCACCCAGGGGCTGGGGGAGGTGTGGACAGACTGACATGTGACTCCTGTGCACAGAACAAAGGCCAAACCTCCAGGTTCCACGGCTGCCATGCTGCTTTTCTTAGAAAAGATTCCACTCACTGAGGGTAAAACTAGCAAGCTCCTGGAGGGAGAAACGTTATATTATACCGAAATGTGCTTTTCTGCAGAACAGATCTGTGACAATGCTTCTCAGCCTGAAGCAAGTCTGTCTGCCTAAGGACATCTGGCAAAATCTAGACAGTTTTTTTTGGCAGGGGCTTGGGCTAGGGGTTGGGGAGCTGTCATTACCAGAGGAAGATACGAAGGGACTGAGGTCTGGGAAGGCACAGGACAGAGCTCAACAGTGCCATGACTGGGAACCCCTGAGTTACAGAAAAACAAGAGATTTTCAGAGGAGCCCATTACTGGCAAAACTGCTGAGACCACAAACTGTCGAGACCAACAGTGGTGAGAAGGTCTTGGGATGTGCCTCCGACAGTCTCATGGCCCAGTGTGTGCTTCATCTTCCCCAGGGCTACGAGGTCCCGAAAATGACTGCATCCTGTGGTGCGCAGGTACAGTTAGCTATATTCAAATCTTCTAAATTTTTACTGACTCTTTTGAACTACTAATTATGGAAAGAATTGTTCTTTTCTAGTTAAATAGTTAAATAGCTTATTATGAAATGATCTTCTTGGCCTTAGAATCTTTTTCCCCCTTTGGGTAGTGGTGGGAATTGAACCCAGGGCCTCATTGTTATTTAATAATAATAAAAGTGGGCCAGTTTTTGTTGCTATTTCCTGGACTATTTCTTCTTGACCTCCTGTGTCCTCTTATAAACAATGCAGAAATTATGGGGGCTGGGGATTTAGCTCAGCAGCATAAGCGCCTGCCTTGAAAGGCAGTCGTGAGTTCGATATCTGGTACTGATAAAAAGGAAAAAATGTAAAAATTAGATTAATTTAAATCACCCCAAGAATGGTGGCACGACCTTGTAATTCTAGCACTTGGGAGGCTGAAGCAGAAGGACTGCTGTGACTGTGGGGACCTGGACTAGACAGTGAGTTCAAGGCCAGCCTGAACTACATGGCAAGATAGTCTCAAAATAAAAATAAATTTTTTTAAAAAATAAAGAAATAGGGCCAGGAATTTAGCTCAGTGGCATAAGTGCCTGCCTAGCAAGCAGGAGGAGGTTGTGAGTTTGATCCCTGGTACTGAAAAAAAAATAAAGAATTAAAAAAATAAATTTAAATCTAGTCCAACAGTGATACCCATTTTGGCTGGTATTGAGTTGCATTTAAAATATACTTAGGCAAGCAACAGCTATTATATTGTGAGGGCTAACTAATCTCTGGTGGGGTCGGAAAGGCACTAAAACAGAAACTTCTCACTCTGGCTTGGAACATAGCTAGTGCCCAATGAGTGTTCCACAACTGAATGGAAAAAGTACACCGAGTTAGGAGGATGATCTGGAGGTCTGAGAACTGACAGACACACACCTATGCTCATTGCATAGCTTGTTACAACTGTATTGATTCTATTAATATCAGTGTTATTTCTTGAGTAAACACTATAACATTAGGCTAATATCCATTGAATGTTTTTGGATGGAGTCTTTTTGAAGCAGGGTCTCACTATGCAGTTCAGGCTGGCCTTGAGCTCACTTTGTAACCCAGGCTGGACTCAAACTCACAATGATCCTCCTGCTTCAGCCTCTAGAGTGCTGGGATTATAGGTGTGCCCTACCACACCTGGCAAGATCTGTTTTTTTTTTTTTTGGTCTTTTTTCCTTTATATCGGTACCGGATATCGAACTCATGACTGCCTGCTTGCAAGGCAGGCACTTAAGCCACTGAGCTAAATCCCCAGCCCCAAGATCTGTTATTTTAAGAGTCTCTGAATTCAAGATTTTTATGGGAAAGCTCTGAATGTCTAAACTTAATTATGCAAATTCTCATTTTTCATATCACTGTGAAAGCAAAAAAAAAACAAAAAACAAAAAAAAAAAACCCACAGAAGCAAATGGGTTTGATATATTAGCTAGATCTGAGCATTCTTTTGTTCTTCATGGCTATAGGAAAGATGGAGAATCTACCCTTTCCCAGCTTATGGATCTAGATAAGAAGCCCTTCAAGAAGATATTACGGTTCATGCTTGAGTAACTGTGCCTCTGTCCCCAAATAAGGCCAGCATACTTGGCATATCGTAATAATAGTTTTTAAAGTAATACCTGACATTAAGGAAGCCGCTGGTAAAAGCCATTAGGCATTCATCCCTCTGTGCCTCCCCTCCCACCATTCCATACCACTCTCCTACACACCATTAACTGCAGCTCCCACCCAAACCCATTATGGCAGGCATGTGGGTTTATCACAGCTGGAGAGGAACTCTTTCATCTGATTATAGGCCAGGATATAAACCTGGACAGCTCTGGAGGAAAGCAGATTCTGGTCATCTGGAGAGGCACATTAGCTGGGGCTGTGCTCTTCCAGCAGCTAGAGGGCACTGCATCTCGCCTGGAGTCTGTCCAGTTATCATGAGTCAGTATGTTTTCTGCTCAGAAAAGGTCTTGCAATCCATCTGCTCTCAGCCTCATGTTTTGAAAAACCAGACTAAGTCAAAACTTCCCCATTAGGTACACTACAAGAAGGGCCATCTCTAGAAATGCAGTGGCACATGGAGGCCAACAGGCTCACAATGCTGTGTGAGGACGTGTGGAGATGCAGGTCTGAAATGAAGGACCTAACTACCTCTTTTTGTAAGGATGCATGGAATCCTGTGCAAGATCAAGGCTCCTGTTCAGAGGTCTGACATCCATGTCTAATCCAAGAAACACACAGATCTATTTATTTATTTGGCGGTGGTGGGGTATCTTTTTGAGACAGGGTTTTGCTCTCTGCAGTTTAGGCTGCTCTTGAACTCATAGCCCAGGCTGGGTCTAAACTTGTAGCGATCTTCCTGCCTCAGCCTCCTGAGTGATGGGATTACAGGCATGTGTCACCATGCCCAGAAAGAAACACACAAGCTCTATAACTCTGCTGAGTGGGCACCACAGCAGAGGGCAGTCAGTGTAAGAGCCCAAGTACATGAGGAGAGGGCTAGGAGAAAAGTCTGATGTGCTACAGCTTCTCTCTCCTAATTAGGTTTTGGTTTTTGCCAAGTAGCATGGAGCACCCTCCAGAAGATAATACTGCACACTCTGATTTAGTGGGGCAACTTTGTGTTCTGGGTTCAAATTCTAGGGAAAAGGTCTTCCCAAACCTAAATGTCACTTGTGCTGTGGGGCTATCCTACTATGAACACACAGTATATGCTTCTTGGTCCAAGAAAACAAGCAAAACCAGATGAGCAGAGGAATTCATGAAGATGCCTGGGAGGAAGGCCAGTGGCTTTGCACAAGCTGGGCCTCTGGGGAGATAAAGGAGAGGCCATAATCCAAGGCAAGTAACATCAGATGTCAACATCTGCAAGCTCAACTCCCCTGATGGGGAAGCACAGCCTTACAGGCTGCTGATGCCTTTACCCTAGCAAGGAATGTGCTGCTAAGCTTCTGGCGGCAGCTGCCAACAGAAGCCTAGGAGTGTGTGGAGATCACTCCAAAGCGGGGCACGGAAGGGCACGCCTCAGAAAGCCAGCAAAGGAGACAAATGGGAGAGGGGTGCATCTGCAAGGCGCGGCAGACTACAGCAGCAGGTTCACTCCTCTAATACTAAGAGGTGGATAAGAAAGGAAAAAAAAAAATGAATGGGGGGAGGGGTAAGGCAAGGAGAGAAATATGCAGGCTACACGGGGCCTTGGTGCAAAGGGCAGCAAGCACACAAGCACTGTGGCACTCTTCTCAAGCCGGAAGTCAGCAAACAGGCTGTGCATTCACCTGGGTGATGAGGCCTAGAGGCTGTTGCACAGAAGTCGGCGAGAACAAGCTCAGGCCTTTGCCTGTGGCTCTGCGAGGGGGCAGTGACTTGGCCTGTGGTGCCTGCCCTGTGGTACCCACTTCCCCTGAGCTATTCCCTGACCCCCAAAGTCTTGAGCCTCAGGACTTCCGGCTCCATGACAGCACCTCTCTCAACAGGACAATCCTTGGTTACCAGGGCAACCAATAGGATTCCTGAGAAGTCAAGTGACAGTGTATTAAGTGGAGGTCTGGCTGAGTGTGCGTGATAGTCTCAGCTATTCAGAAGGCTGAGGCAGGAGAATCACGCATTTGAGGCCAGCCACATCTGGTGGCCTACCCGCCTGCAAATTTTAAAACTAAGCAAAACATTTAAATGTCTAAATATTCTCTTTACTGGCTAAAATGCAGTTGCCTCTCTGTTAGGTCTTCCTCTCACATTCAAGGATGACCACTGATCTCCAGCTCCCTGTGAACCAGCACGTCCCCAGGATATACTGCCTCTTGCCTAGCTGTCCTTGACTAGAGTGCGCCAAGTTTCCAAGTGGTTTCAGGGGATCTGAAAAAAAACACAGTGTAACAGGATTTCTTGCCAAACTAGAGCCTGGCAGGTTCTGATTAAAACAAAGCCACTATTCTAGAAAAAAAGGAGAGGGAAAAAAAAAATGCTGGGCATGGTGGTATATACCTGTAATCCCAGATGGTTGGTAGGCTAACAGGAGGATTCCCAAATAAGACTCTGTCTCAAAAAAAAAAAAAAAAAGGGTGGAAATGTAGCTCTGTGGTAGAGGACTCCTGGGTTCAATCCTCAGTACCAAACAAACAAATGGAAGACAGACACTAAACAGAAGGGGACTACTGTCCAACACAATCTGATGCCTAATCTCCTCAGTCCTGGGCACGGACATTAGGACATCCAGGGACCCATGTCCTCTCGCTGCCATATGATCAGTGTCAGGGTCTTCAGGCAGAGCAGTCCCCTTGGCAAGTCACTTAATGCTTCTCATACCACAAACCTGGCTCCTCCCTGTGAGGAACTCAGTTTCACTTTGGAATATGTAAAGCAGGGGCCTGGGATATAGCTCAGTAGCACAGTGCCTGCCGGCAAGCACTGTAACAACAAAATCTGGTCTCAAACAATCAGATATAAGTTCTCTGTACCTTAAAATACATTACTAGCCACTTCTAGGCCAGATGTGTAATCCAGAGACTTCAAAGAGCTGCCAGGTCAATTTGTCTAGCTCTGTTTTTCTGTCAGTGGCACTGTGGTGACAATGCCCTGGCAGGGCTGACAGTCTCAAATGCCTTGGCAGCCCAAATCAGGAAGCACCCACTGTCCCATCGCCCTAGGTGATTCCACAGTGTTGCATCAGGGTCACTGTCAGGTTCAAACATTAACTCAACTCTGAGCAAACATAACTGGGTAAATAAAAAGAAATAAAAAAGAAGCAGAATTCAGAAGCCGAGAGGTAAGAACTTAGGGATATAGCTAGGCCATAAATTCATCAATTTGCCTTTTTTTTTTTTTGGTCTTTTTGAGACAGGGTCTTGCTATGCAGTTCAGGCTGGCCTTGAGCTCACTTTGTAGCCTAGGCTGGTCTCGAACTTGAAACCATCCTCCTGCTTCAGCCTCCACAGTGCTGGTGTTACAGGCCTGAGCCACCATGCCCGGCCAATATGTCCTTTTAATGTATACTCAGGATAGTCTGTTTTTGGGTTCTATATCCCACAAAAACATCCCCTCTTCCTTTGTTACTCCCACACCAGAGAAAATATTTCTTTTTAATTAAGTGGGTCACCAGGGGGCACGGGGTATGGTTCTAAAACTCCACCTCAGAGGAAGTCTAGGCTTCGTTAGCATGTCTCAAAAATCCACTTTTCTTTTGCTGTACTATAACGAAAAAAACCCAAAACAAAAAACAAAACCAAAAATATTGGAAGCAAGTATTTACAGAAAACCTACTATAAACTATATACACCAGATGCTGGGGGAACAAAAGGTGAGCAAGACAATTTCTAATGGTGAGAACTCCAGGCCGTGGAGGAAGACAGATAAGCAAAACCCATCTGGATAGTGTTTTGGAGAGAGTAATACTGCCATAGAAGTGAGAGAAAGTGACCAGGGCTTAAATATGACACCAGCCTCAAGGAAAAGAAGGCACAAGAAAAAGCTGGGGACAGGATGCTGACACAAATAGAGGAAAAGCAAAAGACACCTGGTATGAATCTCAGTGTGGTGTTTAGGCATGTAACCCAAAACTCCAGGAGGATGAGGCAGGAAGAATTTCAACTCGAGTACAATCTGGGTGTCTTGAAACCCTGTCTCAAAAATTGAAAATTAAAAAAGGGCTAGGAATATAGCTAGCTCAGAGTAATGGTCTGGGTTTGATCCCCAATATGGAAGGTGGAGCGAGGAAAGTAAGGTATCTCCTAGACCAGGGAAAGTTATCTTTGTATGAATGTCCCTTTAAGCTAGTCCTGGAAAACCACCACATGACTTTATGTGCAGAACATTAGTTAGGGTTACCAAGATGAGAGTGTAACCAGGGGCATGAAAACCCATGAAGAGCCTTGGGAGTGGTGTGTTAGGAAGAACAAGTAACTTCCTGGCTTGTAAGGGGAAGACGCCCACTCACTTCCCTTCCCCAGCTTCTTCAGCTTCCGGGATCTCTGCAGGCCCGTGACAGGGAGTCTTTCTGGCACTCTGCAGTAGCTCTTGCTGTGCCACCAAGGCTAAGCTCAACTGGCAATCCTCCTGCCTCAGACTCTTAGATAATGGGCTCACAGGTGTGCCCTACCACACCCGGCATACACTGACTTAAGTGACCTCATCTAGGTCAAGAGCTTTATAAAATCTGATATATAATTGCTGACTCAGCATTCACACTTGGACTTCAGAAGGTTAGCCAGTGTGGTGGCACATGCCTGCAACTCTGGCACCTGGGAGACTGAGACAAGAGGACCACCATGAGTCTGAGGCCAACCTGGACCACATAGTGATTCAAGGTCAGCCTGAACTAACAAGACCTTGTCTAAAAAAAAGAAAAGAAAAGAAAGTGGGGGAGGGGGCCACACTTATAATCCCAGTCACTCAAGAGGCTGAGGCAAGAGGATCATAGGGAGCTCAAGGCTAGCCTGGGTGACACAGTGAGTTCAAGACCAGTCTACCTTGGATAACCCGGGAAGTCACTCTCCCTGGGCTCTGGGAGAGTGGCATAGGGGAGCATAAGGCTCTTGCCCCATAATGTACAGTCCCTTTCCACAACGTTGGAGAAGAAGCTGGGCCTTGTGTCTGCACCTGCATATTCCTACAACTTCTCAGAGTCCTTTGGGCAGTGACTGAGGAGATACACCATGCAGGAAACAATGTCTAGTCAACTTAAGCCTTCAAACTTGAGCTACAGGGGACTAGGGTTTAGCTCAGCTGCCTGCACAAGCACCTGCCAGGCAGGTGTAAGGTGAGTTCAATCCCCGGTATTAAAAAAAAAAAAAAAAAAAAAAAAAAGGTAAATAAATTTGAATTACAAACTTCAAAAAAAAGAGACCAGTTTGGACTACACAGTGAGACTCTGTCTCAACAAACCAACAAACAAAATGTGAGCTTCATACATTGCATTTGTCTACTGTGCCTAAAATAGCACCCAACACACGAATTAATGAATAATTCTAATAAATAGAATTTTACAGATAACATAGACCAATTCTAAACATCAAAAATAATCAGTTCAAAGGTTCCAGGCTAGTATGTAGTGAAGCCAGATTTTGAACTGTGACTGTTTAGAGCCAAGTAAGAGATCTTATTGATATTCAAAATAAGAGTTAAAACTGGGTGGGGCTGTAGCTCAATACTAAAGCACAGATTTAGCATGGATGAGGTCCCTGAGTTCAGTCTCCAATGCTCACTCCCTCAGAAAAGGCAAGTTAAGACTACCTTCTCCAAGCAACTGTTACTGATCTGTGCAAGGCTCAGTGCCCTCCCATCACCGGCTCTGATCTAGGCCTCAATCCCGGTGTGTCAGCCTTGCTGCGTGCTTAGCAGTCCTGTGCCCTCAGGAGGAGGGCACGCAAAGGTTCAGAGAATGGCAGAAGGATGACAGCAGATACCAATAGGCCCGGATAAGGCTGACAGTAGGACCCACCTGCTTCCACACCTAGGCCAAGTTCATGCAAGTCCAGGCTTCCGCCTCCTAAGGAAAGGCTACAACAGCACCACTGACTGCTACTGTCCACAGCTTTTGAAATTACTGTAATTCTTCAGCAACAACCAGACCCAGCAATTTAGATACTGTATATCCCAGGAGGGCCTCAGAAACCCTGAATTACCATCTTGAGAAAAGGAATCTTTTTGCTTTGGGAATTTCTTCAAAGGGTCTCCAAGTGGGATGGAATCCATACAGACCTTTACCTTCAAGTACAGGCCAGGCAATGGCACGCAGCACTGCCCTCAACATAAAATGAGGCAATGTCTAACGAGGTTTCCACTGTATGAATGTGTGTGTGTGTTTTAACTGGTTCTTCCTTTCACTTCTCACACAACACTAAGCAATACAATTCTTAGAAGAAACAGCACAACACTTGCCCTCTGGGACAGTAAGAAAGCAACCCCTCAGCCAACCTGCCAATCTTAGGGTCTCTGAATTTAACTAGATCAAGGCTACATTCTCAATGGCTGGAAAGCCAGGACAAGGCCTTCACACGCAGAGCAATGGCACTTTCTGCTCCAACACTAGCTTGGAATGCTTCACTAAGCGACTTATTTAACTCTCCCCAGCTAAGGTAAATTCTATTGATTCAATCTTACAATTGAGAAGAATGCTTTGCGCCCAAATCAGGCCTGGCATTGAAACTCCAATCTTCTGATTTCTTTTTTTTTTTTTTTGTCTTTTTCCTTTTCATTGGTACCAGGGATCGAACTCACGACTGCCTGCTTCCAAGGCAGGCGCTTATGCCACTGAGCCACTGAGCTAAATCGCCCCCAATCTTCTGATTTCTATTGCCACACAGAGAAAAAGACATTAATTGGCAGGTAGTTCTCATTATCTTTTCCAATGAAGATGCTAAGGCTCCTCTCCAAAAAAAGTATCAGAGACTCTGACTTTGGAAGATGGAACAAATACCTATCGTTTTCCAATTTTTCTGAGGCTGGGGATTTAGCTCAGCGGCATAAGTGCCTGCCTTGCAATCAGGCAGTCGTGAGTTCGATCCCCGGTACCGATAAAAAGGAGAACTCCAATTTTTCTGTAAGACCAGGGATGTCATCCTGCTCTTAGCCAGTCAGAATCTGTGGCACTCACTTGGGGCAGCCAGCACAGTGGCTCCGGTACCAAGGCTAACCACATATAAGGGAGCATAACAGGCAACACGGTAAATGAAAGGGACTGCAGAGAGGTGAGCAGCCAAGACCCAGGGGAAGGCATTCAGATTCAACAAGGAGAAGATCCCAAGCAAGAGAGAACACAATAAAGGAAAAATAAATAACTGAAACACACACAGACACAGAAAAAGGATCCCAAGCAAAAATGATTTCTATCTTTTTTCACTGGGCCAAAAGTTTAAAAAAAAGGTTTCCCATTTATGATCAACTGGATCTCACTACAGGCACTATTAGTATCACTACAATGGGAGTATTACCCCTTGGGCTCTTTAGCACTGAGTTCAAATTGATGCATAGGATACCAAATCAGGAGGTCATTCCCAGGTGAAAACAAGTACACCTCAAAGGATGTAGCAATAAAGCACCCTAAAGCACTGAAATAGTTAATTATCTGGTGACAAGCAAATCTAAACAAACTGTTCCCAGAAGGTCCCTGAAAGTGTGGGTTCAAAACAGGACAGGGACTAGGACTGACCTTGTGATTTCCCTTCTAGGATCAGGGATGACAGCACCTACATCTCACAAAACCACTGGTAATAAGCATGAAGATGCACTTCACCTGGGCTGTACTAAGTGCTCAGTATACCAGCTAAGAGGCACTTCCAAAGAGAGATGGGAGGCTGGTGATCCACAAGCCAATGTCTGTCTCCCAGCGAGACATGCTACTGGGTAGCAAAAACAGAACTGACAGTTACAGGGTCACAGTGCTTTATAAGCTTTGAAAGACAGGGCATGAAGGCTGGAAGTTGGGTTCTCAAGGTTAACACAGTAGCAACGATCTTGACCACTGAAGATTCAGGTCATAACTGTCCTACACAATCTCATCCAGCCATCACAGCTCCCAAATGCCATTTTAAACAGTACGTACTTATTATTGCTTTTGGAAAGGAATGACTGTTATTTCCTGTGTTCCTGCGTGGAGAGGAGACGACTTACTGTGAGGGACGTTTTGAATTCAGAAAAGATCCTTTATCCACACACAGAGCGCTGTTGGAATCTGTTCTTAATTTCTGCAGTGCTTGGTTTTCTCATCAACATCCTGCATAAAGCAAGGTGTTAAAGACAGATGGCAGAGGCTAACAGAGGTGTAAACACTTGGGCAGAAAAATCTCTATGGTTATTACTCTTTCTTTACTGTACTGGGAACGGACCCAAGGCCTCGCACAGGCAAGGCAAGCACTCTACAACTAAGCCAGGCTCTCTGATCATTACTTTGGCCACGGATGTAAATAGCTAAACTCAACCTTCTCCTAGGAAACCAACAAGTCAGAGCTCTCCTGACAGGAAACGTTTCTATTCCTGTGAGGGCAGTATACAGGAAAGAACACACCACACCTTGTACAGGCCAGCTACCTGACACTGCCAGAAACCAATGCTCCCTGTAGGCGGCCTACCCAGAGCAGAGGAGGGAGTGGAAAGAAAGGCTGCCCAGGAATGTGTCTGTGTCATCAGACTTGGACAAGAGTGACTTTCTCTGGCAGGATTTTACCAACAGCTTTAGAAAAATACACTAAATTCTCTCCTGTAGAATAAGGAAAAGAAAGAAGGCTTGTGACTGCCTGAATTTCTAGCCCTTGCCCCACAGCAACTGTGGCAGCTCTCTCCTGTCCCCAGAGCACGCTGGGACAGGTCTCCCAGCAGCCTCGCTGAAAAGGGTGGAGAAGTTACTAGCGAAAAGCACTTTATCCTCCATTCTTTGACGCCACAGTGAAACAGAACTTTTCCACAAAGTCCAGGGACAGACTGCTCAGTGTGATCATGCCTACTCTAGCCAACTGTTTTGCGTTAAGACCCTTCTATGAAACCCAGAAATCCCTAGGATTCAACTTTCCAAAATGACCAGGAATAGCTATTCCTGGTCAGGTTCTCGCTCCCTTCAGGCTTGGGACACCTGGATTCGAGCTCTTTGGTATCACAAATTTTAACTGTCTTCTTTACCACAAAGGCAGGCGGAAATCAGCATCATGTAGCCCCGAACTAACGCGTTTATTTTTGGCTTACCCACAGCCAGTTCTAAGCATTCCATAGAGACAGCAGCCACAGGAAGCACTACAGGCTTCAAAGCAAGGTAACAGTCACACTTTGGGGTGCATGGCCAAGAAATTTAAAGACAGAAGAAAATCTAAGCTCTTATCTCCTAAATTCAAATCTGTGTCACACCTCTGCTATGAAGAATTGAAAACAAACACAAACAGGCATTCAAAGCTCTCCAGTGCTTTCAGGACAAAGTCCAAGCTCCCAGAACCAAGGAGTAGGAGGTCAGTCCCAATCTGGCCCTGGCATACCTCTCTGGCCTCGTCTCTTTCCACTAAACCCTGCCAACCCTCATTCCCTCCAGCCAGAAAGAAATACTTGCACCTCTCCCAAGGCTGCACACTTCCCTTATAGTCTCATCGAGGCACGCAGATTTAATATAGTTTAGTTCAACTGGTTTTCCCAATGGGATTGAACCTAGGACCTTGAGCATGCTACTAAGCAAGTGTTCTATCACTGAGCTACCTCCTCAGCTCTCCTTTTGTTTTTTAGGTACAAGGGAATGAAACCAACGCCTTTATACTGAGCTATATCTCCAGGCACGGAGATATACTTTGAGACAAGGTGTCACTAAACTGCTCAGGTGGGACTAGAACTGGCAACCCTCCTACCTCAGCCCTCAAAAGTGCGTGGACTACAGGGATGTGCAACCACACCACACCTGGTCAAACTGCCCAGGCAAATTTTAAACTCACTATTCTGCCTCAACCTCCCAAGCAGCTGGGATTATAGGTGTGCACCATGGCAATAAACTCCTGATCTTTCAAATCTTATGTAGTCATCACCGACTCTTTAAGAGCTTCTCTAATTCCAGCCATGGCACCTGATTTATGCCTTTGTAAAAATGGTTCCTCCTTCTTACTCCTCAGCGCCTGGCATATAGCTGGTAGTGAGTGTTCACTTCCTATAGGCTTAGACACGACTCAGCATCACTCATGGGGCAATGTTTGGATGACTGGCT